AACAATTGATTTTTTTCCACATTGACCCTGAATCCTGAGGCTGATGGTGTTTCTCACTTGGCTCTTGTTGCTGAAGTTTAGAGATACATTTATGGCCTGGTTCAGGCAAGCATGCAAGATCTTTGGGTATGAACTGGGGTATTTTTGCCTGCTTCTATTTTCTTGAATTCCCTTTTTATTCTTTGACCTGATCTATGACTTACTAATTTTTAATTCTGTTATGTTATGTGTATTTCACAAGTCACTTTTAATCCTTTTTGGAACAAGATAGGAAATTAATAAATTTTTTAAAAACAAACAGATGTTGAGTTCTTCATGCTGCTTTATTTCAATGTCCAGGCCAGGACTGATGCCTTCCCAGCTTCTGACCTTCTTTGATCTTGCAAGTTGAGCCTGATTACCCAGATTTCTCCAGAGGTCAGCATTACTGCGATAGAACGATAGAACGTAGGTTTCTCATTTGTGATCTCTATCATTTCCATGACAATGTGCAGCATTATCATGGGAACATAATTATAATTCCAATCCAAGAAGAAGCAAAGAGAAAATGACACAAGGCTGTGGAATAGCACAAAATACAGAGAGATAAATGAAAGGTCATTCTCTGTTCTCCCATAATAACATCAAGTCTCCTTGCGAATGTAGTGTCCACGGCCCAGGGCAAAAAATGGATCTGCAGCAAGAAAAAGCCATACCCGGAGCTATTGCTCAAGCTATTGTTCTCTTTGCATTTTAAATTTCCTCTTTAGAATTCATTCCCGTCTGCAAGTTTCTCTCCTAAAAATTCATGTTGCTCCTCCGAAGAGTTCTGATGGAATATTGAACGAGATACCCTTTGACATTTTAGCTGTGAATTGAGGGTGTAGAATTCACTGGTTATTAATGTAATGTTTCAATAGTCCATCAACTGTTAGAATACAGACTGAGCATCTGTGGGAGGCATATTATAGCTGATTCTTGTGGTTTCTTTAGCAGCATCTAAACCCCTCTCTCCAGTAGCAGATACTTGGAAGGACGTATCAGATGACGCTTTCAGTTCCAAGTGACAGAAACACAATGTTAAGTAGCTTAAGTGAAAAAGCACAGTTGTTGCCCATGTAATATGAAGTTCGGGGATGGTCCTCTCTTCCTGCCAGGCTGGAGCCCACGCCTCCAACAGGGCCTCCCTCTGTATTGAGGTCTCCGTCCTGCCTGACCCTCTGCAGCTTCACTCTACACATGGGTCTCGCCCCATTTGGGGCAGCAGGATCCCAGACAGCCTCTTAGTCACAGCTTCTAGCCTACAAACCTAGAGGAAGAGATTTTTGTTTCCGCATCCACACTGATCCCAGAGAGAACCCCCAGGGGTCCTGCTGAACCCACACCAGCGGCTGGAGGAGGTGCGTACACTTCCAGGTCAGCCCGGGGCATTTCTTTTCTCATCTCTTTGTTGAGGGGAAGGAGCAGGAATCCTTGGCAGCTCCAACAGGAACGCCTTAGTGAGGAGGAGAATCCAAGTGATCAGAAGTGGGAAACGGAGGGCATTATGAGACCAGACTTCCTACAAGCAAATAATGCCTCTCGTAAATGCTTCTTGCAAAAACCACTTCATCATACAAGGCCAGTATTAGCATGACACCAAAACTGGGTCAGGACAATGGTAGATAAGAAATGTGGGCTAGTGTCACTTGGAACGTTACACGCAAAATTCCTAAGTGAAATATTGGCAACCTGAATCCAGTAAAAATACACACACACACACACACACACGTACACACATATACATATATGTGCGTATGTGTTTATCTGTCAGGTAAAGTTTAATCCAGAAATGTAAAGACAGTTTAATGTTAAAAAAAGCCAAAACCTCTGCACCCACTCTTGATACAAATTCTTAGCAGTCTAGAAAGCAACTTTCTTAACTGGATAAGTGATAATTATCAAATATTTACAGCAAATGATTCATTTAATGTGAAACACTTTATAACGTCCACAGCAAGATAAAAACGTCCACCGCCACCCGTTTTTTTTTTTTTTTGTGAGGAAGTTCGGCCCTGAGCTAACATCTGTGCCAATCCTCCTCTTTTTTTTTGCTGAGGAAGACTGGCCGTGGGCTAACATCCCACGTTCCTCCACTTTATATGGGACGCCGCCACAGCATGGCTTGCCAAGCAGCGCGTTGGTGCACACCCGGGATCCGAACCGGCGAACCCCGGGCCGCCGCAGTGGAGCGCGCACACTTAACCGCTTGCGCCCCCACCACCACCTCTTACAATCAACGTTTTACTGGAGGCCCTGGATAGTGAAATAAAACAAGACAAAGAAATGAGGCGTAAGGATTGGAAGAATATAACCTGGCAAGTTTTTTTTGTAGAAGATACAATCATCTTCATACAATAAGTAAACCCAGAACATCAGTGGAAAAGGTATATAATAACTAAGAGATCAGCCAAGTTTCTAGATTCAAGATAAACATACACAATGCTGAAATGTTCTTTCACTCCGGCAATGACCAGTTAGTAAACCTTATTTTAAATGATTATGTTCACAACAGCAATAAAAACTATTAAAATTATCAGAATATATTATTTATATATATATATATATATCAGACCTTTAAATAGAAAATTATAAAACTTTACTGGCAAACATAAAAGAAGACCAAAATAAATAGATATTTCATGTTCGTGGAAAGGTTGGAAAGTTTCAGCTTTGTAAAAATGCTAATTATCTTTAATTTGTGAATTCGATATAATTCCAACAAGAGTCAAAGCAGAGTTTTTGAAGAAAGTAGATTCATTTATTCTAAAATTGCATGGAAGAGAAAAAGTTGACCAACACTGATGGCTAGGACGATGTTGAAAAGCAAGATCAAAGAGCGCATTTACGGTGTGGGCTGTCGAGGCCATTTGTTAGCTGCTCCAGTGTGTCAAGAGCTTCCTTGTTTGATTTTCTCTCCGTCCTCACGTGGACCCAGATATGTTGACGGGATAGGTCAACCAGGAACAACTGTGTCTGGAGAAGGCCAGCGTCTCCAGCCTGTGAGCCTACCTTTCGGGGACTCCAGGGCAAGCTTTATCTTCTAACCTCTTCGTTGACATCCAGCTACTGCTGCAATGCATCAAAGAGAGCAGAGATCACATGCCAGACTGAGCTTACACTCGTCCTGAAACAGATGTAAAGTCTGGCTGGTGCCCTCCCGATGGCTCTGGACCACTCAACATGCCCGTGGGCCACCTCATTGCTGCCTTAGAGGCAGCCGTTCCACTGGACCTGAAGTGAGGCTGAAACAGGAGGCAAGAAGCTGGCCCAGGTCGCCACCCTTGGATCATCAGTGACTAAGGTGCTGGGAGTGGAGGAAGGGGAGGTGCTGTCCCCAACACCCCACAGAGTCCTGGAGAGCTGACTTCCTTTCTCCATGTGCCCCACTGCACCTCATAGAGACTCCTAGACTTGTCCCCCTGCATGGCCCGTGACTGTTGACTTAGCCCTCCACTCCCAGGGGACTGTGCTTTCCATCAGAGTGAGGACATTTTCTGTGTGCCAGTGTCGCCAGCAGACAGCCCAATGCCTATCACCGGGAAGGTGCTCTGTAAGCATCTGGTAAGTTGATGGTTTGAGGGCACAATAAATCTCCCTCCTCCTCCTTGCCTCGATTCTAAACATGTGTAACCAGCGGGTGAGATATACAAGGAGAACTGTGACATCTGGGAGGATCCCAATCTCTGTAATACGGGGCTGGTGGGACTGGATGGCACTTTAAGTTCCTTCCAGCCCTGGAATTCCCCGTTCTGTAAGCACGTGGCTCTGTCACCTCTCCTGTGATGGAATCATGCATCCGGTTCCCTCCCCAGGGCTGCATGCCCAGGTTACAGAAACAGTGTGTGCGTGTTATAGCAGCATCCCTCCTTATGTAGTTGTAAGAGTGCTGGGGAGAGTCGGGGACCTGGGTCCTTGTCCCCACCCTGACATTGGCTCACTGAGTGTCCTCTTTCCTCTGGGCCTCAGTTTCCTCTTCCTCTTCCTCTCCAAATGAGGGGAATGGCCTGGCTGACCCAGGCCTAATATTTGAGGGTCTGAGACACAGGGTTGAGCTTCTGTGACCACATTCTGTCATTCTGTAATTGTATCTCATGGTTCCTTTATTATACTCCCCGATTCTATATTGAATGTGACAACATCTTATGATGTTGTGATTCTACTTACAACTGTTTAACACCATTCTCAGAGTCTATATAATGGAGCTTCAGTGCTCAGGAAGCCTAAATGCATTTTTAAAAAAATAAATTCAGTACTGTGTCTGTTCTGTATTGCTGGGGGAAAAGGCCACAAAACCCCACCACTCCAAAACTTAGTGGCTTAAAACCCAACCATTTTGTTATCTCATGTTGTGTGACTTGACTGGGCTCAGCGGGGCAGTTCTCCTGCTCCGTGTGCTGTCAACCAGGGCTGCAGTGGAATATGCAGATGTCCAAGGTGGCTCGCTCCCACGGCTGCCAGGGAGCTGGCTGTCACTGGTTGCTCACCTGGGGCTGTTGACTAGAGCACCTTGGTCTTCCTTCTCCTGGCCTCTCCATGGAGCCTGGGCTCCGGCCAGGTTCTGAGAGGCAGTTTAGAAACTGCCAATTCCCTGAAGTCCTGGGCTTGGATTGCCAGAGCATCACTGCGTTCAAGAGATGCGGAAAGAAGCTCCGTGTGTGGAGTGACATGTTGTGGGGAATGGAGGAATTGCTGGGGAGAGGGACACATCTTTGGAGGCTAGCTTCTACAAGTCCTGAAAAACATCTAATTAAAGCATCTACTAAAAACGAAGTAATAGGTTGGAGCCTAGTGTTGGTTAAAATGCCCATTTGTCTGCCAGAGCCTGGAGACTAGAGCTCTGGCAATAGTGCACTGTGGCCTAGGCAACATTAGTGCCTCTGTCTGAGCCTCAGTTTGCTCTTCTGTAAAATGGGGGCGTTGGTCTTGGCATGTTGGAGTCATCTCCATGCCTAACCTTCTCTGTCCCTCTGTGCTCCTAGGTACTCCTTCCAGGACGAGGAGGACATGTTCATGGTGGTGGACCTGCTCCTGGGAGGGGACTTGCGCTACCACCTGCAGCAGAACGTGCGCTTCACGGAGGCGACGGTGAAGCTCTACATCTGTGAGCTGGCCCTGGCCCTGGAGTATCTGCAGAGGTACCACATCCTCCACAGGTAACCAGGCCGCTGGAGGGATACCTAAGGACAGTGCCTGCGGGGCGCGGGGGGCGGTAGGTGGGAAAGGAGCAGTCTGCAGCAGAGGGAGAGTATGTTCACTGAGGTTCTTTAGAAGTGGCAGTGCACGGAGGTAATAAACAGCAGAACAACTTTATTATTGCTCTTCCATTCTCCACAGACAGCCTACTCCCTTGTTACCTGCACCCGAAGTGGAGCACTCCCACTGTTTGTACCCCACTCTCTTGGTACCCCACTGCTTAGAGATGGGGCTGGTGGTTGCCCCTTGCTTCTCTGTTCCAGTTTGTCATTTGGAGGCTGGGCTTTTCTGTCCATCTTCTCTCGGGTTGGAAAGGTCACAGTGGCATTAGTTGGGAGTGTGAAGGATTCTACTGTCTTCCTTTCCGTGCACTGAAATCCATGCTGTGCACCACGGTGGATTTCTTCCTCTTGGGAAGCTTCAGTGTTGGCTCTGGGCTCCTACATTTTCTCCCTTCTAAAGCCCCCATAAATTGACAGTAAGGAATGTTTGAAACATGATAAATCCACAAGGATGGGGAAACCTAAAGAGAAGACTATAGCGAAACATTGGGCGGATTGGAAAGAAGATGTAAACTTAGGTACCAAATGACTTAGGATACCAGGAACTGGATTTTAAGTTGTCACTGGGAAGAACCAAGGACTGACAGGCATTAAAGAATCCCGCAAAGGCTCAGGAATTGACAGTAATCAGCATCTATGGAAGGAGAGTGGGGGTAAAAAAGGCTAAAATAAAATGAAGTGTTTGAAAGCTTTTTAAGAAGCATTGAGAACCCCAGACCTGCTCACCCATTCTGAATAACTGGATGACTACCTCTTCCTCGCCCAAGCCGAATACTGAAGGTTTGTCCCTAAAGAGAGTAAAAGAGAGAGTGTCTGGATGGAAGGACATCAAGCCTCCTTGATTTGAGATACTGTACTGGAAATAGCAAGTCTGACTAGACATATCCATACCAGATGCTGAAATAACAGCCTCCCCCCATTCCAGCCGGGCTCAGAGAGTGGTGTCTCCAGGCTTTCATCCTCCAGGCTGGAAGCTTGAATGATTTTAATGGGGATGTGACTGAACCAAGAGGAAAGAGATAGATTGTGACGACAGATGTTCCCCATGACACCTTGGAGTGTAGTTCACAGCCAACAAGCCCCACTCATTTGCTGTAAGATCCCAACTAGGTTAGTGACAACCGAAGTTTATCAGACATCCAGGGAATCTTCTCACATGAACATTGAGATCCAAAGAATCAAATGGAAAAAGAAAAAAAGCTTGGAATAAACAGAGACTCAGCAAGGAGAAGAAACTGTCAATAAGTACGATCAGTATTTTCAGAGGGATAAAAAGAGTTTTGCAATTGTAAAATAAGAATTACTGTATTTACTTAAAATTCAGAGAACAAACATCAGAGCTCTTATTTAAAAATATGAAAGTAGAAATTAAAAACTCGAAAGATGTGTTGAAAGGTAAAGTTGAGGCTATCCCTCATACAGTGGAATAAAAAGACAAATAGAAAATACGAGAGAAAACATAAGAAAATTAGAGGACCAGTACAGTCATTTCAGCATCAGAAAGAGAGAGAGAGAGAGAAGAGAGAAAGCATAGGGGAAGAAATCATCAATGAAATAATTAAAGAAAATCTCCTGGACTTGAAATACATGCGTTTCCAGATTGAAAGGGCTGCCAAGGCTGCAGTGCGATGACCAGAAACAGACGGACATCAAAGCAGACCTCAGATCCGATGAGCCTCCACAGAAGAACGAGGGTCATAAAGGCTGAGGAGTCAGAGGAGTTTTGGATTTATCAAACACTAGAAGGCAGTGGAGACATGCCAATCGATCAAGTGTGAGAGTGTACGTCTTCACAAGTTCAGGATCTCAAATAATGTACCTCTCATACACCTTTTCTCAAGCAGCCATTAGAGAATGAGGTGGACTCCACTAAAATCAAAGGATACATGAAGAAGGAGGAAGAAACAGAATACAGAAAGCTGGAGCTCCAGGGGAGGAGAGAGGGCTGGGAAACCTCCGGGAGATGGGGACGGGGGCTCAGGGGTGTCATGTGCCGAGGGTGTGGACCATGACCAGCTCTGATCAGAGGGGACCAGGGGACCCTGGGAGGACTTCTGCAGGAGGAGTGAGCTAATAGAATTCCTGATGCGTCTGGCTGCCTTGAGAGGAGCTTTATTTAGTTGATAAGAAATCTGAAGTTGAATAGATGAAAAGTTCAGAACAAAACCTCAATAAATAAAAGACAATTATTAACTCCAAGGAATGCAAGTGCTGTACAGGACGTGGCCTGTGCACGGTACCGTTTACTTCATGAATCCTCTCTGTATAGCATCCTTAATCATAACCACCTAAACCCTGAAAATTGATCTAACCAAAAATACAGTAACACTCCATTGAGGAGATGGGGGATGAGAAGGATGAGCGTATCTCCTGGGGGCCAGGGGAGGAAAGACTGCTCAGTACTCATCTTCCATAGTGGGAGCTAACAGAGATAGCCTGAAGCTGAAAGGTCAAGGAGGGGTCACATACGTGTATCATTTAGAGATAAGGAGTTAAGTACCAAAATTCTATCCTGAAAGAGATGAACGGATGGAGAGGGAGAAATGGGGGAGACAGTGATAGGGATTGTTACTGTCTTGTAACACAACTGGCAAAACTATTGCTTGAATTATTTGCATGTATAATTTTGATACAAATAATAGCAAACACGACAAAACGAAAAAGAGGTAAAAGGGGGAGGGGGAGGGGAGAGAAGAGGAAAAAGAAGGGGAGGAGGAGGAGAACAAGAAAGAAGGGTAGCAGCTTGGTAGTACTAGTAATAGTAGTAGTGGTAGCAATAGCAGTAATAGTAGCAGCAGTAGTAGAGGTAGTAGTAGTGGTAGTAATAGCAGCAGTAGCAGTAGTAATAATAGTAATAGTAGTAGTAGTAATAGTAATAGTAGCCGTAGTAGTAGTCTCGTAGTACCGGGATTGCTCCCTGTGATGCACAGAGTATTTCCTGAGGGCCCATCGTTCATTCTCTCGGTGGTTCACTAGCTTTTGCACGCAGGCCTTCCGGCTCCGGGATCTGCTTGTGAGCGCTGTGCTCTATTTGTTAAGGAAGGTCACTCCAGGCCAGAGTAGCCTCTGTGGGCTGGGCTTCTTTGTAGGTGCGGAAAGGAGCGAGCTCTTTACCAGTCTGTTATACAAGTGTCGTTCATGAATGATCACAGCCACTCCTGCACCGGTGTGCCATAGATGATCTATTTACCTACCTTCCCCCGGACACTGAGTCGTGTGGACGTTGGTGAGAGGGATGCCAACTTCCCAGAGCAGAGCCAGGGATAGACCAGCCAGAAAATTGAAGTGTCACATCAGAGCATGGCGGCTGGGACCATTTCGTTATATTTCAGCAAATGTTGTTAAATCGCTCTGTGTGGGGTCATCTGCCCTCAGACTCCAGATCTGCCTTGGAGAAAAGGAGCTATCCAACAATTTCGGGAAATTTTTACAAGTCCACTAAGTAAATGGAATTACCATTTCTAAAATGATAGGCTTGGCAGAGATTTGAGTCAGTCTTTTTTTTCCTCCATATGGTTCAATAAATCCCTTTTTCAATGTGTATGTGTACAGACTTGAAATTATGCGTGTCTGTACACACTGTGCACAGGGATATAGGATAATGCTGTGCAATGTTTTCCGTTAATTCAGCAGCTGAATTTATAAATCCCCCATTGTGTATGTGCTAGACATTTGATGCCGTATTTTATACAGAGAGATGGATGTTGCTTCTTTGAAAGTGGCCACACTTGAAAGTGATGGGATCATTCCACAAATGCAAGCCTGGGTTGGATTGCCAAGAATTTTTATCTTTCATCTTGGTGGATTTGGGCAAGTTGCTTAACTCCAACTACTTAAATTTTGGACCTCAGTTTCCTCATCTGTAAAATGGTCCTGATGACACCCATGTCACTGGGCTATCAGGCAAATTTCGTGAGAAAAGGTTCATAAAGGATTTAACTGTGCCTGGCGTCTTTTAGGTGCCTCGTTCCTCTTTCCTTCGTCTGGGCGAATTGACTCCGAAACCGCATATTTAATCTTTGTTACATTCTCAGTGGTGACAAATCTCCATCCTTCGAGGATGGTGTTGTAGATCTGTAGAGAATAAAAGGTATTTCAGAGTATAACCCAGTGAGTTTGAAAATGCCCAAGCAGGGAAATATCACTGTGGCTTCAAAATGAATCATTGTTTTACAGCAATTAGAAGACTTACTTTTTAGAGCATTTGAGTTGGCCCTTCATTCTTTCAACAACTCTCAGGGCCAAGTGGTGTGCCAGCCCCTGGGAAGAAAGTGATGATAGGGCACTGCGCCCACACCCGACCAACTCTCCCGGATGGAAGAGGCAACTGTTGGAGGAGCCGAATTATTGCAGTCCTGATGACGACCCACTACTGGGCGCCACCCAGTGGCCACGGAAGCTCAGAGGAGGGCACCCAGCCCAGACTGAAGGGGAGGTGGGGCACGGAGGAGGCCGGGAAGGCTTCCTCTGGGACGTGTGTCTGTGATTTGCAGGACAGGTAGGAATTAGCCCAGGAAAGAGGAATGCGGGAGGCACTGGGCAGAAGGGCTGGACTTGAGAGGCCTGGGCGGGCAGAGCCTGCACTGGCCAGGTAGGCAGGGAGCACGTCCTGAGGACTGTGCTGGTGTCATTTGTTGATAGGTTGAAGCTTGGGAGTGACGTGGTGGTCCAGTTGGTAATCGAGAACGACCCTTCTGAAGGCCCTGAAAGCTCCTTCCAAGAGGGTTCTTCAGCCAGGGCAGGGCTACCAGGTATCCAGAAGGGACGAGTCATGCAAAATCAAATGAATACCAACAATGACAGTGAATCAAGTTGATTGTGTCGGCACGACTTTAAACTATATATATACATCTATACATACACGAGTGTATTTACATATATGTATGCATATCTATGCA